GTAAATTGACCTGGGATCTGTGGCTGGTTTCTTGGAACCGGACAGAACTTGTTCGGGGTAGGTGGGATTGGGTGTTAGGACCCCCCACCTGTGTATGAGGCCCAGGGCCATCTGCGGCACGGATATTGCTGGGGTGCCGGAGGGGTTTTGCTCGTGAGGCTTCAGGCAGGCAGCTGGAGCGCTCTGTGGGACTGGTTTGTGGCCTGTTTGGAGAGGTCACCCGTCTGGGGGCTGTAAGGAGCCCCGAAGTTGAGCAATTCGCCCTGAGCAGATGCCTTCAGCTGTGCCCAGACATGGCCCGGTCCGTCACACCGAGCACCGCACAGCGCTGGGCAGCGACCTGAGCCTGGACAGTGCTTCGGGGTGAGGGGGTGTTAAAATAAGGTAAATTCTGGGAAACGGGAAGTTGGTCTCATAAATCAGCCTTTCGTGCTGATATCTAGGTTCCCAGAGCATCCTGTTCCTACCCGCAGCTCGGGAGTTAATTGTTAGATTGGTTAAAAAACGGGACAGATCGACACCCTGATCTCTTCGAATCAGGCAAGAAAACAGTAAGAGCATGTCATACACCAGTAAGAGCACCTAGACAATAAGCCAGTAACATACTGTCCTGTTAGAAACCGCTCAGAGAGTATTCCTTTAATCTGCAAATTAAAGTCTAGCTAAAGTCTTGCTTATAAACCTATTACTCAATCAACCATTTAAATGTACGTTTAGATTTAGATTTGGTTTAGATTTATACGCACACTAATATATATATCATTGTCATTAAAATATTCTACTATTATTTCAATCTTTTTCTACACTAATAATAACATTTGTCCTTCTCTAAACACTAATTGATAACAGAAGAACATTCACTGTCCAATCTGGTCAGACTTTTTTCTCTATATGCCCCACGATTCCTGTTTTTACTCTTTTTCTTGGTACCACAATCTGGATTGCTCTATAGCATTTATTATCCCTCATAATGCTCTGCACCTGGCATATAGCCCTACAGAAAAATCTCATTCTCTTTAACTTTCTCTATACAGCGACACAAAATCTCCAACTATTAATACTTGTATAAAGAGACCTTAATCAGATTTCATGAAATAAAACACACGCCAATTAAATGTCAGGTAAACCAAATGTAATTTAGATCGCGACAGTTTTGGGTTTTACCATGAGGATTACCCTAGGCGGATATCGTTGGCATTCTGTTTTAGTGTCAATCTACTTCAAATCATGAAAAAAAGAGCAAGAGAAAATGAATGCTTAACTTTTAATAATTACTAATTAAGCACCCAATAACAGTAATAATGAAGTTGCTAAATCGCAAGAAAAAGAGATGCTTTTTTCCACTCTAGATCCTTCAAAATTGCTTCCCACAAAACCCGATTCTCTCAAAACCAGATAGAATGGATACTGCCCGGTGCCCGTCTCAGCCCAGCCCCACACGACAGCAGAAGGCGGCCCTGGGTGGTCAAGACAGAGCACAAACAACCAGCCCTGTGGCGGGGGATGCACAGGCAAATCTCACCCCGTCTCAGCCCAGCCTCACCCGACGGCAGCAACCGGGCCTGTGTGGGCAGGAGAGAGATGGAGCGAGGACCCCCGCCCGGGGGCACCCGCAGGAAAATCCCCCCCCAACGATCCCTGATGTCCATTGGCTGGAGAGCTGCACCGGAGAGGGGGCCCAGCCAATCAGGAGCCTCCTCCTTCCCTTTGGGGGACCGCATTTGCATACTTGGTTCCATAAGAGGCAGCATCTCCCTGGCTGGTCTCAGCGCGGCTCGAGGGACAGCGTGAAGGTCGGCCATGCGTCCGCTCCAGGGCCTGCTCCTGCTGCTCTGCCTGGCCGGTGAGTCACCCCACGGGTGCCCCTGATTAAGACTCTGCCCCTACCCCTGCTCATACCCATGGTCTGTGGGGGCTTCCATAATATCTATCTATCTATCTATCTATCTATCTATCTATCTATCTATCTATCTATCTATCTATCTATCTATCTATCTATCTATCTATCTATCTATCTATCTATCTATCTATCTATCTATCTATCTATCTATCTATCTATCTATCTATCTATCTATCTATCTATCTATCTATCTATCTATCTATCTATCTATCTATCTATCTATCTATCTATCTATCTATCTATCTATCTATCTATCTATCTATCTATCTATCTATCTATCTATCTATCTATCTATCTATCTATCTATCTATCTATCTATCTATCTATCTATCTATCTATCTATCTATCTATCTATCTATCTATCTATCTATCTATCTATCTATCTATCTATCTATCTATCTATCTATCTATCTATCTATCTATCTATCTATCTATCTATCTATCTATCTATCTATCTATCTATCTATCTATCTATCTATCTATCTATCTATCTATCTATCTATCTATCTATCTATCTATCTATCTATCTATCTATCTATCTATCTATCTATCTATCTATCTATCTATCTATCTATCTATCTATCTATCTATCTATCTATCTATCTATCTATCTATCTATCTATCTATCTATCTATCTATCTATCTATCTATCTATCTATCTATCTATCTATCTATCTATCTATCTATCTATCTATCTATCTATCTATCTATCTATCTATCTATCTATCTATCTATCTATCTATCTATCTATCTATCTATCTATCTATCTATCTATCTATCTATCTATCTATCTATCTATCTATCTATCTATCTATCTATCTATCTATCTATCTATCTATCTATCTATCTATCTATCTATGCTGTGCAGTATTTATTCTCCATCGCTCCTTCTCCATCCACCCTCCCACACCTTTACGGTCTGTCAAACTCCTGCCCCACGTTTGGGCACAAGGAGCAGAGGCCACGTTCTGGTTTGTCTCCTTCAGGTGGACGATGCCAATACGCCTCCTTCAGCCAGAGCCCCGCGGAGATCTCAGTGTCTCCTGGAGGGATGGCCACGCTGGAATGCGCTGTGGCCAACGTTGGGGCCGACAAGGTACATATGATCTGGATCCGGCAGAGCCCGGGACAGAAGCCGGAGGGGGTGCTGAGCTTCCTAACAGACCTGAAAATCTACCGAGCACCGGGGATCCCGGAGCGATTCGAACCCTCCCGTGATGCCGCCAACAAGACGTTCCTCCTCACCATCCGCGAGGTCCAGGCTGGGGACGACTCCATCTATTTCTGCTTTGCCTACTACGGTTCAGCTGGAGTCCAGACGTGGGGCGAGGGGACCCGCGTGCGGGTGCTGAGTGAGTACGGGGCCGGACGCTCTCTGTGGTGGGAGGATCCAGGGGGCAGGAGGTGGCCAGGGCAGATCTGAATATGAGGCTGGTTCTGCCACATCGCCGTGTCCCACCGTGGCCAGTGTCCCTGCCCTTTGCTCCCCCCTTTCTGCAGCAGGGACCAGCCCTTCCCTGCCTCCCAAGGGGCACTTGGCCCTGTGACCCACAGAGGCTCCAATACTGGAGAGTGGCCAGATGGGAACTTGTCCCTCGTGGCCACAGGGAGGATGGGGGAGCAGGCCCAGGGGGGACAGAGATGTCTCTGTAGCACCCCCAGACACAAGACCAACAGTGGCTGTGACCACTGGTGTCTCTCTTGTCCCCCCACTGGGCTCCTGAGGAGCTGGCTATGGGGCACAGGCTGGGGGGGTACAGCGTGTGGGGGGCTATGAACATTGGATTTCCCCACATGTGTGTTTTATCCCCAGACTGGGACACAGGCCCTGTAGGGACCCACGGGGCTAGTTTACTCCATAGGGGCCATTTCAAGGGATCCCCTGGGGCTGGCTGGGTGGGACCTTCCACTATAAAGCAGCCAAAGCTAAATACATTGGGTGAGTTAATTAATGGGAGCAATGATAACGAACCCTAAACTAAAGGAGGTTTGGATTTGTTCTACAAAGTCTTCAGGGGCAAAGCCTTTCATTCCCAGAGGAGAGTGGGGTCTAGGGGTTAGAGCAAGCCAGGCTGCAAGCCAGGACTCCTGGGTTCTCTTCCTGTTCCATGAGGGAAGTGGGGGCTAGTGGTTAAAGTAGGAGGGACTGGAAACCAAAGTTCCTTCCTTTTTTCCCGGTTCAGGGAAGGCAATGAGGTCTATTGGTTATATCAGGGTGTCTGTGAAACAGGGTGTCTGTGACTCCTGATTTCTACCATGGCTGAGGGAGGGAAGTGTAGGCAAGTGGTTAGAGCAAGAGTGGATAGAAACCAAGGCTACACGGTTCCCTCCTGGTTTTGGGTGGGCTGTGGTGACTAATGGTTAAAACAGGGAGTTGTCTGAACCAGGATACTGCTGTACTACCATGGCTGAGGGAGGGAAGTGCAGCCTAGTGGTTAGAGCAGGCAAGAATGAAATCCCAAGCTCTTGCCTGGATGCTGGTTCTTTGAATCTGGTTCTAGGAAGGCAGTGGGGTCTAAGGGCTAAATGGGGGAGGACGAGGGCAGGGAATCATGATTCCTGGAGTCTGCCCTGAGGCTGGGAGAGCAGGGAGGTCTGGTGGTTAACTCAGGGTCTCTGGGGAGTAGAGCTCCTGGGTTCTCTCCTGGTGCTGGGAGGGAAGTATGGGCAAGTGGTTAGAGGAGGAAGCCAGGGACCCAGCACTCCCAGGCCCCCTCCCCACTGACCTCCTGCTGTGCCCACAGGAAGCGACCTGCCCCAGCCCCGCATGCAGCTCTTCCCGCCCGCCCAGGAGGAGCTGGCCACCGGCGCGGCCACCCTGACCTGCCTAGTGAGCGGCTTCTTCCCCGGCTACGTGGAGGTGCAGTGGAAGCGCGAGGGGCAGCGCCAGGCCCAGGGGGTGAGCACGGGGCCGGTGGCGCTGGGCCCGGACCAGACCTACGCCGTGAGCAGCCACCTGAGGGTGTCAGCCGGCGAGTGGCATGCGGGGACCCGCTACAGCTGCCTGGCCCGGCATGAATCCCTGCGGAGCCCGCTGGAGAGGAGCATCAGCGCCCAGGCCTGCCGCCCGGCCCAGCCCCACAAGGAGCCTCTGCTGCCGGAGCCCGGCCAGGCACCGGGACCGGCCTGTGGGACAACCGATATGGCCATGCCAAGCACAGTGGAGAGCAGGGAATTGCTTTGTGCTTCCGGGAGCCAGGCCAGCCTCCTGCCCACGGGCAGCAATAAACCATGGACTGAGAGCAAGTGAACCCCTGGTCGGCTCCATTGTATCATGGGCACTAGGGGGCAGCAGAGGGTGGGGTGGGGAAGGGGCAGCTATACTGTATAACGGGCACTAGGGGGCAGCAGAGGGTGGGGGGAAGGGGCAGCTATACTGTATAATGGGCACAAGGGGGCAGCAGAGGGTGGGGGACGGGGGCGGCTATAATGTATAATGGGCACTAGGGGGGAGGAG